CTGAAGGTACTCAGGTAGGCTGTTAAAATTTAATTAAGTTACCAATTTCTCTTCCTCTTCTGCCTCTGAGATAGTGCGATGGTCAATTGCAGATCTTCTTCTTCTCTGAGCTCGTCCTAAACAAATGGCAGGAACAAAATTAGTCAGTTAACCCATCAACAGTACGCCAGGCGCGGATTGGAGAAACGGGCAGCGAGACATCGCGAAGCCTGTCACGACAAGACGCGGTCTAGCGTAAACGTACCTTGTAAGGTAATCTGAGCATTGAGTGGGCTGTTCCATGCAGATCATTTAAGCAGAAACCCCCCAAAGCAACCATGGACAGAAAGGAGGAGGGCCGGGGTGATCGCCCCCAACGCCCAACGCCAGCCGAGCCCAAGGACACCAGTAAGAAGACCTCGACCAGTCCGAGGGGGTAACGACTGGTAAATTTCGTGTCAGCCGGATTAGGGATTACCTCGGATTACCCCGGATTATCCCCAAATTACCTCCGGATTACAACCAAAATAATCCTGGATTACCCCGGATTACCTCCTAATATGCTGTCAGCCGGATTCCCGAAGTCGTTACCCCCTCGGACCAGTCCCTTGCCGTAATGGTGCAGTCAGCCCTAAACATGAAACAGGACAACGATCAAAGAATGACTCACAGGTGGCTGCATTCAACAAGTGTGACTATGATTTGTTCCCTCTTCCAGTGTGGAGGGCGGTGGCTGTCGCGGGGTCTTGGCGTCCCGCTAGAGGTGAGTGACTTGAACGCAAAGCAAGGACACGCCCTAATATTTCAGTCACTCCACCCCGCATACCGAAATACAGCATTGGGTCACGGAATCAGTTCAAACCGTGTTCATTCAACGGGTGTCACTGGAACTCACCAATGGCAACAGACTATTCTAGTCTTCGCGGACTGAAGAACAAGAAGAACCACAAAACCGGAAATGGCGCCGGCAACTTAACCTCACTAACCCGTCCGAGTGCGTCATTTAAGATGTTTTTCGATTCGACACTCTTTCAAAATCAATTTAGCTTGTGTCAAATACTTTTTGTCAAAGGAAAGAAATGTATTTGTTAGCATTACTCTCTTAAACCAGGCTCACTACCTACTCCCGATCTACGCTATTTCCGGTTTTGTGATTCTTCTTGTTCTTCAGTCGACGACGACTAGAATAGTCTATTTGTATAGCTTAAATGATGCCTGGGGTATTTGGAGTTTTCTTCATTCGACAGATTCAGCATGAGTATGTCCGAGTATGTCGCTTCCCTTATTTATGATAGTTAATTGTGTTTTCACATTTCTTGCTCGTACTTGTTCTTTTGAACGAAACTTTTGAAGGCATAGTGGTTGCAGAGCAAAATAACAAGTTTTATATGTTTTTGGAAAGGCAAAAGATCAAGCAGTCCAGTCCATGCATTGGAATTGGTTTCAAACAAAAATTGTGGAAACTGCGGGTCTTCAAATGTCGTCGTCTGCGACTTTTTTGACGAGGGATAAGTCGAGTTGCGAACATTTGCGAACCGGTCGGGCACCGTGGTGAGATAGTATGGCGACCCCACTTTCATGTCCATCCTGTCCGGCGATGCCGTTCGATGCCGTTTTCTTTGAAATCTAAGTGAAACATGCGACTTCGTCTCGCCGCGCCACGCCGCCGCCACCGCGCCGCGCCCTCGGGAGAGGACGGCAGAGGCGCTATGCGCGCTGGCTACTCCAGCCAGCTCTGACAGACTCTGTGCCACACCAGACATCGTTTTGGGCTGCCACCGATAGTGATACTTACAGCTTCAGTGGTCATGCTGTTACGCCAAGACATGCATCGTTACGCAGGCCTCGGGTGCAGCCAGTATCAATAGGCGACCCAAGAGGCGCGTTTGGTCATATCCTGGGTATATCTTCTTATCTCCTCAGAAATGATTTTCACTACCAATGAAACCCTAAAATCCAAAGTTTTGCGAGAATTCAGCGATAAGGTTCGTTTTACCCCCCTTCACGCACCTGGCTCCGCCTCTTAGGGTGCCTGTCACGTTCAAATCTCGTCAGAAATGAATAGACTATTCTAGTCGTGGCTGAGTGAAGAACAAGAAGAATAACAAAAGTGTACTTTTTTGCACTTTTACTTCAAATGTTTAAGTCCCCTTGCTTGGTAGAAGTTAATTCAAATATTTTCTAGTAAATGCAACATATTTCATCAAATATATTCACTTTAAATGCCCTTAATGGCGTCTTTTGTGATTCTTCTTGTTCTTCACTCAGCCACGACTAGAATAGTCTATTCGGCGACCCCTAAATACACTATACACAAAACTGGTGAAGAAAATAATTTTGTGTGACTTTTTCCGTTTTCGCCCCACTGTGCGACGGGTGGAAGGCAAGACTAAGGGTGGAGAAAGAGGGAAACGACTTGCCGCTACTCCACAAATAAGAGACTCCGTGGCTCAAACAAAAATTAGTGGTTGCAGTATTGACAGCGTGATTTAAAGTTGAATGTTCCTTACCGTTAGCCGATTCTGCTATGGCCGATGGCAGTTCAACGGTGCATCTTTTGCTAGCCCAGGATAATGCAGGGTTAGAGCTGATACTCTTGAGCAGGAGTTCAGATAAGATGCGACGCGGGCGGGGTTTGGGCTGAATGGGCTAATGCACTGAACCATGAGTAGTTTTGATCGTGACATGAAAATTTCATGGCCAGCACTCAGCTGCGACTGTAAGGTACATAACTGATTCTTAGATTTAAGTACCTAGATCCATACAGCTATTTCAAACTGCCCCGTCGCTGTCTCGAACTGCCCCGGCCTGAGGTAGTCGGTAACAGATGCAAGGGTTGGAGTTTCACCTTACAAGGAAGGTGTACGCCAGACAGTGGCTTGACGCAACAGGCTTCGCGATGCACCAGTTCCGACAATCCACGCCTGGCGTTTCCACCTACCTTAGGCTGCGTCGCTGGCACTCTCGCCAAACAAAGAGACGTGACCGCACATCAAAGGATCATTCGGTTCCAACTTTTGTGCTACCCCCCTCTCAAGTACGGAGCGACAAGGTTGGATCGCTGGGCAAACTGCTTGACATTTTAGGTTTGACACCCGTAACATTCTGGCTAACTTTTGCCTCGTAAGGGCTCTTACCTGGGTCGGAGGTCGAAATAAATTCTAGTTTCATTACCAGCACCCTTCAAAACAAATGAAATGATGTAAAACTTAACACAACAACAGATGTCAGTAAAGGGTTATTTTTTTTTTTTTTTTGACGGTTTTAAAGTGTGTTTTGGCTATAATTACCACACGGGTTGAGATGGAAAGCTGCATTTCGGTGTGTGGCGAGCCAAGGACATACCTAATGACCCTGCAAAATCTCAGCCAGATCGGCCGAGCTGTTCAGGATAAATAGTGCACGCACACACACACACACGCGCAGACAGAAAAAGTTTTTTAACCCCACTGGAGTAACGGGCTTCGCTATCGCTCAGCCAGTCATGAACGTTGAACGAACTTGTGAGTGTCTGCGGGTGTTTTCTGGTCTAGATAATGAGTAAGACTATTAATCTAGTGCAAACACGCAGCATAGATCAGCAGTACGATTATAATTATGAAATTTCTAACAGGGTATTTTAACGAATCCCTGCAGGGTATGGCAAGTCTTCAGAGAAGGCCTATACCCCTAAGTGGGCTGTGACGTAGAGGGTCGCCCCAGTACTGGCAACCTAAAATAATTAACACAATGTTTTTTTCGCTTTAAAAATCTTTTTGAGAAGCATTGAAGCCATAATATTAATTATAAATGACGATTGCATTAAAAGCAAAGATACTCTGAAAATTCCAAGCTGCAAGAACATGATGTAATTTTTGTTAGAAATGTTAAAATTTGGGCCCTCAGCAGACGAAAAAGCAGTAGCTAGCAGACGGATAGCAGAAAATATTTATTGACATATTCACTGTTTGTTTTCTTTCTGGACTTGTATTTATTTTCCCAGTGTTGTTGTTTACAATCTGGACTTAGTACAAATTTTCT